ATTGGCTTCATCTTTTAGACATGCCCACATATCGTCTATCAGTGCTATATGTTTGAGAAGTCGGAGGCTAATAATGACCGTTTATGTTGGACATGGAACGTGAAACAATTACCTTTTTCGTATGGCTTTGGTGATGTTTGGCATAACCAAGGTGTTAACAATATTGATAATTTTATTGCGATATTTAAACAAAGATTTTGGGATATTGACATTCAAGAGTGGCATATTAAATTACATCAATCACCTAAACCCTGCAACATATAACAAATTTTAAACTGTATTTGGTCAAGAAAATATTTAAACATTGTTGACAATATATCAATCAGAACTTGTCTTGTATCTCTGCACACAATTTGCGCATTGAAGCTGATAGCCCATCACATAATGAAAGGATTGACAGAATTTGTGTTTATTGTAACCTTTACCAAGTTGAGGATGAATTTCACTTTTGTTTGATTTGCCCATTCTATAATGTCTTGAGAATAATCTATATCTCAGAGAATTTCCTTATTTTCCCCACAATGAACAAATTTATTCATTTAATGAACACCACTAATGTGACTGTTGTTAGAAACCTATATATTTAGTAAACATAGACTATTGATTTGACAATTGAGTTTATAATTTCTTATGTTGGCTGAATTGAACATATTTGTCATGCAGCTGTTGTTTCACTCGTTCAAAGATCTGGCCATTTTTGTTTTGATTTATTACCAATATTTTCACACAGAGAGGAGTAATGTTTGTCTTTGTTTCTGGACACTTGACCTCACAAATTTCAAATGTAGACTGCACATCTTTGTCAATGACCTTGCCATCGAGGAAGCAGTAAGGGAACCTTGCTAACACTCATTAAAAACCGATATATCGAAATTTAGACTATACATATTGCTTAATACAACTTTATAGAGCTATATTTTCAAATTTGTTTCCATGCTCTGTAAACGTAGATTTTAAAGGAGTTGGCTTATACAATCTTCGAACTAATTACAAATATCATAAAATATAGATGCATTTAACCTTAAAGCTTGTTTTGCTTCCACCACTCACTGCAATCTACTTGTTGTCGTGTTTGAGGCAGTTGGCTCATCAACTCCAAGGGATAATAGCAATTGCTTTTGTTCGTTGAAAAAGAATGTTTAGAAGAGTTCGTTGAAATTTTAGAAAATTTAAAGGAATGTAAACAGAAATTCTTTCAAAAGTAACACTCGATATGTCTACAGAAACATAAAAACTGTTAAAGTAAATGTTGATTATCATTGTGGCTACTACCAACTTACCACTACCAGCAGCTCAGATCTTATTGGTAAATTATAAAAACAAATATTTGAATCGTCAGTGTTCTTTAAATTATTCAAGGAAAATTCACAAATGCGGAACACAAGCCCAATTAAATAATTACAATGACCTGATTTACCAGCTACACATATACACTTAGTATGTATCACTTATTATTAACCATGTGGGTCCTTACATTTACTATAACTAGAACTCCACTCAGCATTAAACAAGAAAATGTCCATGAATAATTGTTACAATTTCAAATAAATATTGTTCTTGATTAAAAATGTTCCCACACTGAAAAGCTGTTGGTTGTTCTTGGCCCTTTTTTTCTTTATGCAAGGTTGAACCCCAAGTGGCAACTTTCATCTCTGTGCGATGGTAGGGTTTCAAGGGATATACCCCATTCAGACTGAGGGTAAGAAACTGCGTTGTCGTTGATGTTGATATAGATACACATTCCGTTTATCTAATTTTCTGGTTAGTGTCTATTTTTTATGAAGTGATGTACCCTGTTAAAACGAATCAAACAATTGAATTGTTCAATGTTTGTGTATTGAACAGAGAGAAATTTTAAAAAGGAATTTTGTCCTCAGACGACTAATGGCTAACTGGATATACATGTAGTATATATAATGGATAATGGAATAATAGTACATGAAAGTATGACTCTCAGAAAGACAATGCAGGTAATAACACCGCATCTTTCATATTAAAAAAATCTCCAGAACTTACCGAGCAATGAGCTCTGCTTTTGTCATTCTGTGTTTTGTACGGTCCCCAAGACACAGCAACCAAAACATTAGTTCACCATTGCATGGCCTTGCTACATCTTCAAGCATAAACTAAAATTGTATACATAACACGTACTGAATTCAAAATTGAAGCTTTGAAAAATAGCTGTGATGTCCTCATTTACACATTATCATGCACATAGTTTGTCTGACATATACAGCATAAGCAATCAGCTGAGTTCACGCATCGTCACTTCACGGAAACAATGTTTAATAATAAGTTGCAATTGTACATACTCAACAAAACAAACTAAATATATAAGCACAACGAAATACATCAATTTCTTACCATGAAAACGATTGAGCTTGGCGCAAAATATTCATGATTATTTTCAATAATTTCTGTGTAACATAATATTTCCACTGACCATGACACAGCTTGGAGTATTTTCTCACTGTGCATGGATTTACAGTGGTGTCGGCATAGGGGACAGTTGCCCCTCGATAAAAATGTTGGGGGACGGGGTGTCGCCCCTCCAAAATCAAACTGAAACCCTTTGTGTCAGCAGAATTTGCTCCTAAAATTGCAGGAACTAGCGTTTCTGAGGGTCAACATTTTAAAATTGTTAAGGGGAAAATGCTCCCTACTGAGGTTGGTGAGCAAAATTTCGTGCCACCACCTCTGCTTTATTACGAGCAATTTATTACAGAAGTTGTGAGTAGCTTGAGTCAAATCTGCCCTAAAAATAATCTATGGCGCGCCACCTTTACAATACATACATAAACTTAGCACATATACTTCAACAATAATAGAAATTTAAATAATTTGTTTTTTGTGTTTTTTGAAATACAAATATATGTGCTGGGATTGTTAATTTAAACTATTGTATATCTACATCATGCGTATATTGTATACACATTGATACCTATTAATTAATTCAAATAAACACTGCTTGATGTGAATCTAACAACGTATATAGCGTGCTTAGGTTTACAGATAATACAAATTTAGGTAACTATTTTAAGAAGACACATATGACAATTTATATGTGATGGGAAGGAATATTAATCCGTCCGATGTAGTCCACAGGTTTTCAACAGAAACCATTTGATTATTACTCAGACTGATATATGGTGCTCAACTCACTCTCACCTGACAGCAGTTCATATGTACCAAGCAGCCCATATAAATTTCTCTTACCGATTTTATTATGTGGAGTAGCATATTTGGTAGTTGTTAAGTCATGCCAGTCGTTTGGTTTGTGTTTTTGAAATTGAGAATGTCTCTAGTATTAAAATCTACTGTTTGGTATGTTATTTACACTTTTATTCACTGGAAACCACTCCAACTGCACAAAGTCAATAATTGACTGTCCTCGAAATGAACAGTTCTGTGTAAAGTGAGGTTTGTAATGTTAATTGCTTTTTAACACATATTATCGTAATTAAACTGATAACACTCATTGTGAAACTAGACACGTATGAAGCATATCCAGATACCGTTTTTGAAATCATATTGTACACATCAAAAGCTCACCGACCAGACACACCTTTGGCTATGTACCTCCAAATAGTGAAAAGCTCTCCACTGTTATATTATGCCTAATCCCATGCGGCACAATATATGCTAATGATTTGATGACCAAAATTACCACTTTATGATGGACAATAAATTATGTTTAATAAATAGTCAATACAAATAAATTGAGATAAAATATAATACTACATCAGAGCTGAATACTTTTAGGTAAACCATAATCTGATTATGAATGTATAGTATGGCTAGCTTTAGATACAAAGTCATTTGTAAACTCATCACATATACCTGCATAATCGTATCAATATATTTACCGATAATGGGGAATTTAGGTAATCACTTCGGAAATAAACATATGATAACATATATGTGCTGAAAATGTAATTTTATTTACTAATACCATGCTGACGACAACGTAGAACAATTGATTCATTTTGAATTAATAGTTTTAAGTGAGATGGAGTATTTAATTAAGATGTATTCACATAATTAAATTGTTAACGCTCGTTGCGAATCAGGACACGTAAGATGCATATTTAGTTATCATTTTTAAAATCCGATTGTACACATCAAAAACTCACCGACCAAGACACACCTTAGGCTATGTACCGCCAAATACAGTTATATTATGGCTAATCCTATACCGTACAATACGTCCCAGTGATATACAATTATGATTCTTGATACCAAAATTTCCACTTTATGGTGAACATTAAATTATCTTTAATAAAGTAGCTAAAACTATTATTATATGTACTGTATTATACAAATCGTACCAGAGTCTAATAGTTGTAGTCAAATACTGTCCTGGTTACAAACGTATGGTATGGAAACCTTTAAATAATTCATGTGCATATCACACAGGCTGCATAATCTCATTAGAATATTCTGCTGATAGTAGTAATTTACATAATGAATGGAAATAATCAATGTGAGCTTGGAATATTAATTTCAATCATCATATACCGTCCCTGTCAGAGCGTGTTTTTTACCACTGTCTCATTAATTAGATGATTTGGTCTAAGATCACACGCAAATCAAATAAACGTATCATCTTTATACGTATGTGCTCCATATATAGTTAAACATTAATTTCACATCATGTTAAGGTAAAACATCACATCATGTAAAACTTTGTATAATAATGACAGTGTGGAAAAACATTTCGCAGCATAGTTTTGAGAATGGTGACCACATATTTACATGAGCTGGAGTCGATTTGCTTCAGAGCATCCAGTGCATGCATATCTGAGTGATGCAAAATTTGTAAACTCAGCACGCTGTTATTTGGTACATCGGATGAATAATCGCATTAAGGTTTCTGGCAAATATTTTATAAACATATGGTAAATACTGTTTGTTTCACCGCAACTCTGCCCTTTGATGTACCCGATGATGTAACATATAAATATAACCTGTGCAATCTATTAGCACGGCAAATACTCGACTGTCTGCGTGTTTATTTTGCTCTGAGTGAAGATATATTCAAAATGCATTTCAGTCATTTTCTGCTAACGCTAGCAGCGTTGGTCTGTGTAAGTACCGCTTATATATTATAAATATTCTTCCTTTTTATTACAAAACATGATAGTAAAAAGCTTGAATGTGTCAGCTAGTTTATGTTAGTTCAGGTTATCACATGAGTCAGTGGATGTTGATGATTTTATACTCTGTAGTTGTCAACTCATCATCAAAACAAAACTAGGTATGTATCAGCTATTGTGGGTTTCTATAGATAATCTATTTTTCTATCTATCTTGTCTGTCTGTCTCATTCCCAAATATAGTATAATTTCAATAATGATGACTATTTTTATTGCAGTTGACACATTGCAGTTCGGGTGAGTGTAGTATATTCTATCATTTCCGTATTCAGTTACTGTCTGTCATATATTCATTCAAGTTCAGGTTATTGCAATTCTCCACTCGATTCAATTACTTTCGAAATATCCCTTAATAACATTCTCAACTACTATGTCCAAAGAGTGTGTATCTCTACAGTACAACATAATATATACTGCCAGTCGTTTATTTGACGCACTTCCCAAACGAAACTAAATTGTATTTATGTATTAGTTTTCGACAGGGTAAATTTTATGCAGCTTTTAATCAATAAAATAAATCCAATGTGTTCAAAATATAAAATCGGTGATATCAATTCGTTACTTGAGTTGGCACAGAATAATTTGTAATTTCGAAATAATAATACAATTTTTTTTAAAATGTAGTCCGGTGAAGATAACGTAAAGCAGCATATATTGCAAACCTACTTACACTGTAGTTTTTGATGTATGGCATAACTTAATACAATAGCTACTGATTCTAAAAAACTTTTTTCGATCATTGTGTGGAATTAAACAATTAAAGTAAGCTTCAAAGGCCCGTTGGATTCAACCAAAAAGTGAAAATGATTGTAATGATGAAAATGTTGGACACGCTGCACGTGGGTACACTTATACCCGATGTGTGGCTTATTGGTTATCGTATTCGCATCAGATTGTAGTTTTCACTCCAATGGTCGGCTGCAAAATTAACCATTGGAAAATAAGCGTACATTCTACCCACTTACCAGCCTCAGTGCATTAGTATTCGGGAGAACGGCGTTCTTTCGTGAAAATAAATCTGTCGGTCCCGTGTTCTGTTCATGTTTTAGTGCACAGATCCAATTGTTCTCTGGGAAAAGGTAGCTGGTTTCCGCGGACAACTGACGTATTACTCTCAATCATACATTTTAGGATTTATCACATGTACAACTACAATTGTAGTATTACCTTTTTCTAATTGTCTACAGTTATTTGCTGATAGTTTTCAAGGTGTTGTATTACGGGTACGATTTAACAATGAAAATCTGAGAATGTATATACGTTTGTTTGATATTTAGAATAAATTTGTGTTTGAGGGTCACATAATACTGGTGCAAACATTTTCATTGTAACAAGATCTGTTTTTGACTAATGTAGATTATTGTGCTACTGAGTGTGATGGTGTATGCCGTAAGAAACACTGCAATGACGATGAAATTGAGTCAACTGATCCAGAATGCAAACATGATTGTGAGGATAACAAAAAATGCTGTGTAAAAAGTACGTTTTCACGTGTCCGTAGTTTGTATTCATTCATTCATCATCCATCCATTCATTCATTAAAGACATATCACATGTACAAAAATAAATTTTGTATTACATTTCTCTTATGTGACAAGTACGATTTCACACTAAACAGTCGGAGAATGTCTATACTTTTGTTTTATATTTAGAACTTAATGTTATCAAGGTGTATTTTGTATTTGACTATCACATGATACTGGTGTAAACATTCTTCTTTTTAACAACATTGTGTTTTGACTGATGTAGATGTAAATGGTGTAGGTAATGAGTGTGCAAATGAGTGTGATGGCCAATGCCGTAAAAAACACTGCAATAGGGATGAAGTATTATCAACTAATCCAAGCTGCATAGACGATTGTGATGCTAAGAAAGGTCGGATATGCTGTGTGAAAGGTAAACTTACCGCATTTATCGTTACTAATCGGTAATTGATGAAACATAAAATTCTGATTTTGGATTAAATTTCAGTATTAACATATTCTTGATTTGACATAGAAAAATAAAAACCTTTCTTTAACCCTCCCTAAACTGCGTATGAATTTATGATTTACAAAATTGTGTATATGTAATTTTTCTGACAAAGTCCAAAAATATGACTGCGAAGTAGACTGTGGAGGTACATGTCGTAAACATTGCAAACTTGGTGAACAGGATGCGGAGCCCAAAGGAGAATGTGTTGCAAGTTGCCCAGATACATACAGGTGTTGTGTGACAGGTATGATTTTACACTTAAAAATCTGAGAATGAATATATAGTCTGTTTTACAATCAGAATTTATTTTTTTCTAAATAAGGTACATTGCGCATTAAACACTTACGTTGTACTAGTGATAACAATTCGATTCAATAAGATCTGCTTTCTTTTTTGAATGATTTAGATGATAACGAGTGTCAACGTGATTGTAATGGACAATGTCGTGCAAAGCACTGCAATAGAAATGAAAAGGAGTCAGAGGATTCAATCTGCGAGAAAGATTGTAAAGATAAAAATGATCGGATATGCTGTGTGCCAGGTTAGTTTTCACAAATCTAACGAACATGCATTTTTGATTTCGTCTTTATTAATGTCGTTAGATGTGTGTTATGTGAGTATGTACAGAACCAGGATATGACTGCAAAACAAACCGTGGTGAAACATTGCTAACGTAACAATTGCAAACGTGGTGAACAGGGCGCGTCAACAAATCAAAATTGCCTAAACAATTGTAATGAAAAATAATTGGATTAGCTGCGTGGGAGGAACACATTCATAATGATTAGAAAAACAACAGATGTGTTGCCTAAGGTAGAGATGCAGGTTCGTGGGCACTTGGGAGTGAAATGTTTTTTTTGGCTTTTTATTATTCAAACAGTCTTGGCTATAGACTGTTAAAATTTGGTACAATTGTGAATAGTGGAACATACTCAAAAAACGTTTTTAAAATATAGATAACAAACAAACATTCTTTCTTTTGAATGCTTAGCAAGATTTAGCAAGGCTGTACATAAATAATAAAAAAGAAACATGGTGAAAAAAGAAATGACGGGATCTCCATATTATCCACTATATTTAACTTTTAACAAAACGATAATATATTTAAATTTGGAACTACTACAGCCATTTTAATTATGGGCATAAGCAAGCTTCTCACTGAGTGAATTGTTATGTTATGCAAATTAGCAATTATCTCAGCTTCTTTTGAGTGCACATGCCAGAACTTTAAAATAAAATAGCTCCTAGACGCTTTGACCTTTTGTTTTGAAATTTTCTCAAATGATTGACAATGTGTTTATCTTCAAAACGCCGTTGGGGTATTGTTTTTGGTTGAATAGTGTTACAACAATCGTACAGACAACTAGCCTGGGTGTTAATTTATGCATACACTTGAAGTAGTGAAATTTGAGCTGCGGCCCTGCAAAATTGAGAACTGATAGACAATTTTCAAGACGGCACTTTCTTCTTAGTAAACAGATGTACCCATATACCAATGTTGACAGGAAACAGAAGCATGGTTTAGAAGCTAATTTTTGTGCATATTTCAAACTACAGTGTTCATAGAAACAAATACTAACAAAATTTTAAAATTCATACAATAAGCTTTCCGAAAATATATAGTTTTGTGGACCAGGAAGGTCATCTTGGTTCTCTAATTAACTAATTAAAATACCTGTCAGTTACACTGCATCTCTACCTTAACAGTAATCTTATTCGCATCATAAGATTGTGGGTTCGATTCCAGGTTGAACAATTGTGGGGCGGGGGGGACGAAAGAGTACATTCCGCGTTTGTTCGGCGGGAATGTAAAGCTGTCGTTCCCGTGTTCACTTCACTTGCTCCGGTATCCGGTTTCCATGGGACAACTGATGTATTACTCCCAACTCATGTATGTATGTACTTGAGTTACATTGTTTTTGGTATTACCATTCTTTATTTGTCTACAATCACTGTGGTCGGGCTACAACTGTTGCGTCACAAAATATTATTTCGTACTAAACAAATTGAGAATGTGTATATGTTTGTTTTCTATTTTGAAGTACATTTTGTATTTGATCACATTATGCTGATGTAAACATTTTTCATTTTAATAAAATCTGCTTTATTGACTGGTGAAGATGATGACATTAATGAGTGTGAAATTGAGTGTGGTGGACAATGCCGTAAAAATCACTGCAATGACGATGAATATGTGTCACAAGAACTGAGCTGTATAGAAGATTGTGATGAAAATAATGGTCGGATATGCTGTGTGCCAAGTAAGTTTTTATGCATCGAAAGAGTATGCATTTTGGATTTCGTTTGTATATAATTAGATGATGAAACATAGTGTTCGGATTTCTGTTGAATAAATTCATGTTTAGAGCAGTATACAACTTTCATTTGAAAAATAACACATCACATTTCTCTGATTTCCTTCCCAAAATCACTTTACTTAAAGTTTTACTTTTAAAATTTTTTAGTATTAACATAAATCTACCTTGTCTCACATTGAGAAGTAAAAAACAAGAAAATAGTACATAATTCTTTTCTAAATTCCTTCTACATTGTGAATATGAATTTAGATTTTACAAAACATATATGTTTATTTTCTGACAAAGACCCAGGACATGACTGCGAAGCAGACTGTGGTGGAACATGTCGTAAACATTGTAAACGTGGTGAACAAGATGCGCAACCCGTGGATGGGTGTGTTGAATCTTGTCCACCTGATTATAGATGTTGTGTGACAGGTAAGATGTCACACTTTTATATGCTACATTTCTTATTACACTGTAACACCGTGAAAACAAAATTATTTTAACATCTTTAATTTTTTTGTGTTTAATGTAGATGAGAAAGCGTGTAAAAATGATTGTAATGGCCAATGCCGTAAAAAACACTGCAATGACAATGAATACCAGTCACATGAACCAAGTTGTGTGAACGATTGTTATGATAAAAGGGAACGGATATGCTGTGTTCCATGGTAAAGTTTGGTTTTGGTTTTTGCTTCTATTTAGGTAAATATATGTTTTATCATAATATGATTTAATTGCTGGTCAACCTAGTTTGTTGGCCGATAATATAGACACAAAAGTAAGAACTATGTAATAATACATGACGCAATCTAATTATATTGCACATCGAAATTTGTTTTTATGAAATTGTATGTTCACATTCTTTACCACTTTTTTTACCATTCCGGAAATATACACATTTACTTGAATCATATAACATAAAATAATTGTTTCTGAAAACAAATTATGTAGTATTTCAAACAATTCCACATACTTTCCAAGTTTAGTAACTATCAAATATATATTCATATCTTCTCATGACATAATTGTAACTCAATATTCTGTTTTCTCCTTCACAGATATCACTGTCTGGCACCATAAGTAACCAACGAGACTTACAATTTGTCTCATGTAAAGAATAAATTTAGATCTTAAATTAGAAATAAATCATAAAAATGAAAAAGCCTGACTGTAGTGTCGTTGTACATGTGTGTCGGGTATTACACATTGTCACGTGGGGAAGAGGCAAGTGATCCCCCAGCCAATCAGAGTGATGGAAACAATCGACAAACAACAGTTATGTGTATACGAGAATTTAAAGTCCCCATTTATTGACAAGTTAAAAAGAATAGGACATCAAACAATTATGATAATACTTTCAAAAATTAATCACTTAAATTAATAATAGGAAATTTAGATTTGCTATTCGTAAATTACTAACAGTTCATTGATCACATTGGAACCGAAGCAGGCTGTAGAAAGCGGAGCATTTTAGCGTAGACTTAGGTATCTTGGAGCCGGCATACACCAGTCAAAGTGGCTGCAAGTGGCTGTAAGTGGGTGACCAATTCACAACCTTTTCCGTAGGTGCGTTTGATAGACGCCAGCGTACAAAGGCAGTTGACTCTCACATACATAGAAGGCAAAACCACGAGAGTTTCCTGAAACTGATGCAAAGAATAACTAAAAAGTGCACGACCACGTGTAACCATCAAACCGCGTCCGAACCAGTACTGAAATTCATGGCTGCCCTATTTATACTCGGAGAACTTCGTAATTGTAGCGAATATTATAGTATATTATATGGCTGAAACTGTCATTGAATATATCAGATTAAGGTAGCGAGAAAGGTTTGGCGACGTTTTTCATTAAAGCATTCTCTGTCTATTGTCTCATTCAGAACCGTAATTTAGCGTATATAATTCAAAAGCCTAAGTATAGAGGGACGAGTTCGCACAAACTGGAGAGTCAATGTTTACGTAAATACCACGTGACCACATATATGACAAACCTTGTAAAAATGACAAAGTCCGCGATTGCGAGAGTACAATGCGGAATTTCCGGGTAAAATTAGCGCAAGGCATTGTCCGTAATCAAATCCATTGAAATGTGTTTCCGATAATCAAAAGACATATTATTCCGATTTCTACGCAGATTTGTTTTTTTTGTCCCCTAATTATTTCATACGTGGCACAGACTATTATTCTGCGACGAAGCATTTTCTTTAAAAACCCAGACATATTTCGCACCGTCATTATCTGAACGATAAGTGCGAGTTTGAATGTCCTAGTCCGAACGCACTCAATTTGATGGCGGCCCAATGATTCATACTCAGCCAAAACTTTAACTCGCGAAGAACGCGAAAAACAGTTTGAGATAATAAAACACTGCAGATTTGCTGCATTATTATAAATATACACTAAGAATGGCAAAACATATTAACTACTGATATCATAGAACTCATAAAGCTTGTGAGATAATGAATAATTTCAAGCTCGAGTGTGAAAAATGAAGAAATCTGCTGGCATTTTGAGTCCATACTACAGTAGCGTTCGGAAGACGTGGCATCCATTGTTATGCAAACGACAACGAGGGATAATCCTCTGACAAACATTACTGTTTCACTGTACACGCTGACAGTTTACAAACAAGCTAATCCTCAAGTTTCTCTAATAGATCTAATAAAACGGTTTTCATGGTCAAAAAATGGCCGATGTTCGAAAAATTGCTTTGTCAAAGTGCGACACGAATAATACTGGTATAGCTAGACGCAGTAGGATTCAAAGGAAAACAGTCCCTTCTTTAATTTCTTCAAATTACTGTTGAAAAAAATACAAAATGCTGGGTAAATATCTATCAGTTACGGCTTTGGAATAACTGTCATGGGGGCATTATCGTCTTGTCTCTATACACGTCTGCTTGAGGAACAGGATGGGAACAGTCAAATAGACACACACAACGAAATACGTTTTAACTCTTGTTTTTAGTCAGCCAGTCGAGTACTCTATAAGACACAGCGTCCTTGGGAAAAGTTCCAAAGACTATCTCAAGGCTGACCCAAGACTGCGTCTCTCATGGTGTTCTCGCCAAGACCAACTCAAACTCCTTTATTCACTTTCAAAACCTTAACCAATTACAGTGGAGTATAAAGTCTATAAGGCGGAGCCTTCAATCATACAGCCAATCACACGAAATACTGGACACGTGATATATTTTGATTAATCGCCCGCTTTATTAATAAACTACAGATACCAACTGTCAGAAATAGTAGTCCGGATGGCAACGGTTATATCGTAATTAGTTCCAAATCACTCAGTCAAGTTCCGTCTAGAACCTCGCATGAGCCTAAATGGTAACAGATTATGGAAATGTGTTAAATGATATAAACCACATATCTACAAGAACTCAAGCATAAGTCGTATCGGTAGAAATAAATCATGACATAACCTGTAGAACTTACAGTAGATAACAAAGCGATTACCAAGTTCGTTGTGCAAAATCAGTATGAAGATTGCAGTTTTTCAATTGAAACGCTCACTGTTTTTGACACTGCTATATGGATGTTACGTTCGTTCTTCGTCATTAGCCAGTATAATTTGTTATGACTACGTTCATTACTTTAAACTCCAAAAAATTGTGTAACCGTTCAAACTGCCACGTCTGTCAACGTTTTTTTTTCTTTTCCTCGCCATTGCATTAGAAAAAATGGTATTAGTAAAATAGAATATTGACTTGAAAAATAAAACGATTTAAAAGAAATTTGCGCAAACATATGACTATGTTTCTCCGGCGAAGTCTCGACTGACATTAATGCTGACAATAATGCGTTTTAAAACACTAATTCGAGCTTATTTCGCGATTTTGATCTCTTGAAAAGCTGGGATGATGTATCAAGGTCTAAAGTAACCGTTTTATCAATATTTGAAAAATCAAGAAAAGAAGTGAAAATTTCCCTTCTCGCTACCTTAAATAGACACGTAATTAGTCCTTATGCGATATTCCTTTTAGCTTAGTGTTAAATACATATATTCGCACTCGGTTGTCCGTCATTTTACGACTATTTTGGGACGCCCTGAAATCAAATGGTTTCAATCAGCCTATAAATTTTAACGAAAAATTTCGTCGAGTATTTTTGTGTTCTTAACTATTTGTAGGTAAGTGGTCAACACAAAATATTTATGATCCTCTGGAAACCATTTTATTTTATTAGACGATAGACATTTTTCTTATAGCTTTTGAAATAACAATATCTCTCCTTGCAGAAAACGGAATACAAATATATTGTTACTAACAGTGATTGAAATCAGGGCAAAAAGGGCAGCACAAAACGACATTTAACTTTCCCACCCTACCCAAAATGACCTGTCCTTATTTATTTATTTATTTTTTTGAACATCGCATAGTGCACAGTCAGCTGGAGCACAAGTGATAATAAAATAAATGCGATATTTACTATATATGGGAGCATCCATCTTAAATGCGACATAAAACTAAATAAATAGATAGTTGTGAAACGAGTTTTTCAAATTCCTACAAAACAGCACAAAATAGATTCGTTACTATTGAGCCAAACGTTAACAAAATTCGACCAATTTCATCGTTTCGTGTGGAAAGTTACCCTTGAATACAAACACATAATTACACAATGAACATAGAACACTTTCCCGGGGTATTTGAAACCGAAATTGCCATCTAACTGTAAGGCCGTCGACGATTGGCTGCTGTTGGCATGACAATTTTATAAATGAAAATATTGTTAATATGTGGTTAATATACTAGAATTTGTGTTACCACACAAATTCACGAAAACGTTTGAATAGAATGTATAGAAAAGTCCCTTGCACACAAACGCCTTATTTCTTGAAGACTATAGCCCACTTTCCCAGTGTTTTTGAAACTGAAATCATCATCCAGTCCAGGAGCCAATCAACGACGCCTTTACAGTTAGATGACGATATATATCTATCCCATACAGCATCATGGCAACTCAGTGTAACACAGCAGTGTAGAAGTTTCTTTATTTGCTTACTGTATAATAACATTCTCTGCAATCTGATTGGTCCATGCATCAGACTGAACTTTGACATCATTGCACAAAACAAAACATCACAAAACATCTTACGATGCTGATGGTTTTACACAATATTTCTTGAATTATTATTAAGAACTATATTAATTTGAATAATTCTGGTAGTTTCGGGTGTCAACTAATACGCGTGTGAGATATAAAGCCCAACATATTTGACACATTAAATTCTCCAGGCACATAAATATATCGTATCCTGCGGCGATTTTTCATGGATTGTGAAACGGTCATGGTTTGAATTGATAATTTGAAATTATGTTCCCAATAAATCCCCCGAAACAGTAATTATACGTTGGCTTCAAAACTAACTATAATTCTAGTTCAAGTTCAGTTAAATAGCAATTAAATAAATTCACTCCTATATGCAGATGATCTTGGGTCAATCTCTACAACAAACTCAGGTATGCATAATGCATTAAACAACCTTCAAAATTACTGTCAAAAATGGAAGCTACAAGTAAATATGACAAAAACTAAAATTGCTATCTTTAGAAGGAGAACAATGAAAACAACAGAAAGATTCTCATCAACCAAATATTACAAGTGTTGATTCATATTGTCACTTTGGTGTAATGATTTACTCAAATGGTCACTTTACTGATACAAGAAACAACTGGACAATAAAAGCTGTTCGTGCCCTTTATAAACTAAAACAATCGACACGATAAGAAACTAACAGTAAAGCATATATACATCTCTCCAAGGCCTACATAAAACCCCTCCTAGTATACAGTTGAGATAATTGGGGCACTGAATTTCTCACTAATGTTAAATGGGATACTAGTAAACACCAACTGAAATATTTCGCTTTAAATGTTACGAGCATTTACTGGGTCTGAACAAAGTCACTGCAAATTTAGCATATAGAACTGAGGTATGAAAACTACCATTATAAATTTACATCTAAACTAAAATAATCTTTTGAAATACTATTCACGAATTAAAAACCTTCACTAATATAGTCAAGCATTTTGTCGCATACGACTTATTTACCACTTCCGTGTCACTGAGAATGTTCTAGAACCGTACTGTGTCTGGGTGGAATATTCTAGATTTCTTTTAGAAACTGGTTGAATAGGTAATAGAACACTGTAGGAGAC